ACTGTGGCAAATTTTTGGTTGCCAAGTTGCCACTTTTCTTCTTCGGAAATTAAACAACCAAAATCAACAGAAACATGACCTGAGTCTGCTACTCTAACAAAAGGCAAAATCCCAATGGTCCTAAATTTATCATACAAGTAGCATTTTTCGAGTCTGGGTTCTTCCTTCTTGTACCAATGCGATCTTGCAGTCTTTCTGCAATCTTCTCTTCTCATCTCGTGATACATATCTTCATCCAATCCTGAATCACTCAACGACTCATCAGTTTCAGCATCCAAACAAGCATCAAACAGGGGGGAAACGAACAGGGAAACAATTGGGGAAACATTCAAACAAGCAGCATCCAGATCGGCTTCAATACTCTCCAAGAGGTCAATGGCATCAGTCACATCATCATTGTCCTTCACACCCTCCTCCTCCGTTCTCTCCGAACCTTGGTTGCTGTTTAAACATTTGGTAGTGACAAAGTTTTTATTGGTATGTTGAAAGTTGGTTGAATCAAAGCTTCCCAATTTGATAGTGCATACATTATTGGCTGCTACTGATTGGGTAAGTGAAGGTGGTGGTGATGGTGGTTCAGTAGACTTGAATTGCACTTGATCAAAATAAGTCACGGACTTGTTCTCCTGTTCATTGGTGGTAATGGTGGTTGGTGTTGATTGGAATGCTGGTGACATCAACATAACTCCACCTCCAGGAACAAATCCAGGGATAACCTTTTGCACGTCAACTTTCTTGTACTCGAATAACTCAAAAAACTTGTCAGCTGGGATATAGTTGATAATCTTTTCTGGCATGGTGGGTGAAAATCAATATCAAATCAACAATATGAGTAAACGGGTGATTGGTAGGAAAAAGGAAAGTATGTAGTTTTTTGCAATTTTTTGATTGTGTTGGGGGAATTTATAGGATTTGTAAAGTAAGAAAGAATATCAAAATTTTGCAACTTTCTTCAACCAAAGAGGGGAAGATTGTATACCACAACAAAAGTAAAAGAGAAGTAATATTGATCCCTTTATTTATTCCAACTTTGAGAGTATGCTTAGTAGAGTTAATAGATATCAGTATTAAACACGCCCTGAATGAGGATAGCTCATCTACTATGAACTCTATGCACCTAGTAAGCGAAGTTGTAATCTATACCTTGTTACAGTATTTGAGTATGTAATGTATGAGAATCATTTTTGCAACCAGAGAAAATTATTGCGCCAAAACACACGCACAGAGAATCTGAGTAATAGTGGATTGAAGGCGCAGTCAGAGACGCAACTGATAAATCACTAGGATTTTTGGTTTAAAGGGTATAGAGTCTTCACTATCTTCAATGAAGGAGCTTAGTTGAACTACCCAGTTATTGAGTAGATACAAAGTTTAGTTAAGAAACTTTTCTCGTAGGAAAAACAAGCGAATAACACTTCTGTTCAAAAGGGTGTATCTAAACTTTTCATACAACCTGCATGTGTACTTGTCTGCATAACAGCACACTTAGAAGTCATAGACATAATACAGACTTCCCTGTGAGGTGATTGGAGTAGCCGAATTAGAACTCACCAAATAAAAGGTGCAAAAAAAACATTAATTGTATGCATGTATTTTAGTTTTGTCTGCACAAGGTGTTAAAAAATTGTATTGGGTATTATAGGTAAGAAGAGAATACGAATTTTTACATCCCAATAATGTAATTAAACGTTACAATTTATATGCCATAAACCGCCTCCACTTTTAATCTCTCATTATACATTTATGAATAAAAGTAAATGACTTAGGTTTGTCTTTTTCAAAGTCACCTTCTTTTCTACACACACACACACTCTCTCTCTCTCTCTCAAACACAGGGTTTGCATACATTTAGAGATGACTCGTCAAAGTATATGTTACTATTCTGAAAACATAGTTAACGTTTTTTACAGTACCGTTTTGTAATTAAAGGTGATTTGTAGAATATATATATATATATATATATATGTATATTGCAGCACCGGTTTTAAGACGGCGATAACACCCGACAAAAGTATACGCTACCAATTGTGATTTAGTAATTGTACACAAAAGATTATTTCTTATCATTTAAACAGTAGAATGATTCGACAGAGATAAAATAAGAAGTATGTCGTATCTCTATAGATAAATATATATATTTATATGCAGAAGAGGAGAAGAAATACATTCTTGTCTTTATGTAAATTAAAGAACAAGCTAACTACCTCTCTCCCACCTGTAGCTAGAAAGCATGATGTACCTATACTTAATACTAAAATTTCTAAAACTAAAAACCAAAATCATCAGATTAGATATAGAGATCCACCCAAACAGCAAACAGAAGAAGGGAAAGAGAAAGAAAGTAGGTTGATTTTCAAACTCTTCTAAGTAGTGCATCTACTTATGATATACTCTTTAGTAAAACTGTACATACAAAAGTACTTGTACTTTAGTGTAGATGGAAAAGTTATCACCAACAGAGTCCCTTTCTTTACTATTTTAATTTTTATTTTATTTTTTATTTTATTTTTTATTTTATTTTTTATTTTATTTTTTATTTTATTTTTTATTTTATTTTTTATTTTAAATTTCTTTTTTTCTTACAAGTTTTGTATCCTTTCGCCTCAGTACATTGTGAGTTAGGTTAAGTCAAGTTAAGTTAAGTTGGTTAACGTTTTTTTATTTTTTATTTTTTTCAACTTTCCCATCAATTCCTTCACCAATACAACCAATACGATCAACCAACTAAATATCCACCACTACTCCATTAAAAAGTGTTTTCTTTTAATATATATATATAATACTTGAAGTATTATATAATTACACTGTATTATAATAGTATAACTACTTTTATCAATATTTTCTTTCTACCAAATTAAAATTATCAACTATTATTATTCTCCACTACCACCCTTTTCTCTCCCCCCCCCTCCCCCCACCACCCACACTCACAAACCAACCAAAAAAAAAAATCGAAAAAAAAACCAAAAACAAGAATAAACCAATCAAACAATTCTTTACCAAAACATACACCAAAACCACCTCATCTCATCCCATATCTTGTGTGTTGCCCTTTTTCTTTTCATAATTTCCATCATTTGCATTACACTCCTTCATATCATATACAATGCACAACAACAACAACAACAGCAACCATATACCAAATTCACCGTTATTCCCACCACTGCAGCTAAGCACAAATTCTAACCACGATTATCATCATCTGCAACTGCAACTGCAGCACCGTCACCCCCTGTCGTCAAATTCACCATCCCCTCCTCAACACCAAGTATTTCTACCAACACTACCTGACAAACCAACAACGGCTACTTCGTCTTTAGCTGCATACATCATCCCATCAGAACCAGTATTGTTTGTTCAAGGGTTTGAACCCCACGAGTATGAATCACGTCCACCAACACTATTACGAGGCTCACTTTATATTCGCGTGTTTAAACCAACAAAAATCAAGTCCATTACCTTGAGTTTCAAAGGTGTACAACGAACAGATTGGCCTGAAGGTATACCACCTAAAAAAAACGTCTACAACGAACAGAGTGATATAATAACACACACATGGCCATTTTTCCAAGCATCGTCAACATCGGGGCCTATTCCAAACAATGGAGCTGATATTTTTGTTGAAAAAAACGGAGAGACACATCGTAGTTCACTAGCAGATGACCTTAGTGCTGTCAGATCAAATACACCACCACCAGCCCCGCAACAATCACTTCAGAAACCTTCCACTAGTGGTGCTTCCTCAATTGCATCATCGTCTCATCATAATGATAATTTCTTCACCAGGAACTTATCACCCAGTTTTATCAGGAAGTCAAAGTCGCCAGCTCCTTCTAGCAGTGCAAATGAGTCGTCAAGTACTTTTACTGACTTAACTTCCATTGTTTCCCCTTCTAATAATGATCCCAATTCAAGTATGCTTTTTAACCCTGGTGATTATCTTTACAATTTCGAGCATCCGTTACCACCATCAATCCCAGAATCGTGTAGTGTCACTTTTGGATCTACAAGCTATCACTTAGAAGTGTCGATTCAAAGACTTGGTACTTTCAAATCCAATTTATCTGGCAGATTGCCCATCACTATTGTCCGTACTCCGTCAGAACTCAATATGGAAGAAAATGAATCGATTGTTATATCTCGAGACTGGGAAGATCAGATTAAGTACGATATTGTTATCGGAGCCAAATCAGTGGTTCTTGATTCATATTTGCCATTAGCTTTTCGATTTGTTCCATTGTGGGGTAAAGTGGCATTACACAGAATAAGAATTTACTTGACGGAGAATTTAGAGTATTATTGTTGTAATAAAAAAGTGCACCGAATGGAACCTCCCAAGAAATTTCTTTTGTTGGAACACAAGGCGAGAAAGGGTCGATCTTTATTACAGAAAAACCCTCAGGATGAGTCAACGGTTGGATTGGATCAATACGATGAAGATGTTTTACCAAAAGAGTTGGAATTTCAGTTATTTGTTCCTAAGAATGTTATTGGCCGATTGAATTCGCAAATTCATCCTGATACATCTTATGAAAACATTCAATCTCACCATTGGATTAAAATCTGTTTGAGAATAAGTAAAATTGATCCTGACAACAGTGCCAAGAGGAAACACTATGAAATCTCAATTGATTCACCCATCCATGTATTGTCACCCTTGGCCGCCCATAATAATACTTTACTTCCAGCTTATGACGACTTGGTAGATACTCCGCCACCACAACAAGCAATGAATGGTAATAATGTTGCATCAGTTATATCTCCATCAGTAAATCCATTATCTCCTGAAGTAATTGCCGTTGATGGCAATAGCCAACAGCCTATTGAATTCCACCATATTTCCACTGATTTGGACGTGGGTGCCACTGAAAGAGATGCCGATATGCATTTAGAAGCTAATTTGTACAAGCCCAAAGATGATCTGACAATCACTACAATCAACTCGCCACAAGCTAAGCCACATCCAGAAACTTTCACATCGCCTTTGATGTCACCAGTGCAGCGTCCAATACATTTAATTAGAAAACCATCAACAGCACCGCCACCTTTTGAAGAAAGTGCAAAACTGCCACCGGTTATGTCATTGCATCCGCCAGCTTATGGCGATATACAACATCGTGATGGAAGTAGCAGTGATAGTGGTAGTAGAGGTGGTGCCCGTGGACGTGGTGGTGAAGGATCACTAAGCTTGAGTCCATTGAGAATTGATGATGAGGTTGGACAAAATTTCGTCAACCCGTTGACGGAAAGTGGTACAACATCAGTCGAAAACTCAACTGGTTTACAAGTCAATACAGTAACACCTGTAAGAGATTTGTTGATTCAGCAGTTGCAAGGTAATGGTGGGTCTCATGCTGAAACAGAAGGGGAACACACTTCAAATCTGGAGACAAGCAGGGCAAAAACGGATGTTGTGGTGCCAGAAATTTCAATTAATGGTGCGGATGTGAGTTCTGAAGGTCCCACCACTACCAGTAAGCACAGCACTGAAGACGGTAGTACCCTTTCAAACAGTGTGAATAACCACCTCGCCACGACTCTTCAAAACAACAACAATAGTATGAATCAATTGTCTTTAGATGATGCAGTTATTAATGACAACGATGAAGGGGATATTGCTGATGACCCCCACTCACCCATTTCACCACGATTGGTACCCATTTCTTTTGCCCATAGGAGAAGTAGTAGAGGCACAGATGATATGGAAGGACTTGACAATGAAATATCTTCGTTTCGCGGTAAAAAACAACGAGGGGATGATGCTACTGTTCCATTACTGCCTCAGGAATCAAGGTCTTCTCGTTCATCGTCTATATCCACTACCAATTCCTTTGAACCACCTATAGATCAAACTTTACCATTACTCAATATGTCAACAAGCTCCATCCATCCAACACAGGCCGATGTAACAGCAATGAACGGCAATGCGCATTCGCAAGTTGCGTACCTGCAAGATGATCGCAACCCGTCCATCTCTTCATCGATTTATGATTTATCTCAACGTCGTCCAAGTCAGCCATTATCAGGGATGAAACCAATGGGGATCATTAGTGACTACATATCCGCTCACGACGATGAGTTTTACCAATTGAACAGTTTGCATCATTTGCGTAATCCGAGAATAAAGAAACATTATCAAGATGAAGCAGCGGGAGAAGACGAAGAAGAGGGGGATTTAGGTAACCCAAACTCCGCAACGCACTCAACCGGGATAGGTGGTAATGAATCGGGTTACAAGACAAGACAAAAGAGTTTTGGTGTTGTTGGTGTCGGTGTTGGCAATTGCGGGGGCAACTTCAATGAGGATGAATATGAAGTTGAAGAAGGATCAAGCTTGAGCTCAAATGAGGTACAACGTCAAGTGCATGGACACGATCAAGGACATCAACAGGATAAAAATGACACTGGTGGTGGTGATAGTCGGGATTCAAAAGTGCATAGTAATGTACAAGATCCTCCGCCGGGAATGAAAGTGGGGTTTGTTATGAATAATTGAGAAACATTCTTTCAGAGTTGAACAAGATGGGGAGTGGTTTATGATGACTTTCCACTGGCTACATTATAACTTATAGATCCAGGATGCCTTTTTTCAATTCATTAGGAGAAGTGTAGAGAAAAATACATTAGCTTTTGTTGTCTTTTGAGTAATAGCTTTGAATAAAACAATATAAGGAGGAATAACACTTCTCTCTATACTCCACGCAGCTATAGGCCCAGACGCGTTATGCTTTTGAAATGAAATATGTACATTTGACACTATACTTTATTCTTTTAAACCTCTCTTCATCCCTATTTTATTTTCACTTCTCTATTTAAACCAGCTATATGGAAACACACCCCTGCCTCGTTCCGTTTATTTAGAAACTTTAGTATCAACAACAGTTCCATCAGCTTCTTGTTTCAAATCGCCCAACCATTCATACAACACGGCCAAATCACGGTTGGCAATATCTTCACGCTCACAAGCCTTGTCGTACCAGTATCTACCAGCATCTCCCAAAAACAAAAATCTGCCTTGGTCCTTGGCACAATCGGTGGCCAAAACCACATCTTTTCTCGTCAACTTGGTAATAAATCCACCTTGGTAACCTACATCAGCGGGCAAGTTGTTTTCAGGGTAGACGCCGGGGATAGGACAGTTATCAACTGAAGCCCATGATTTACCGGTGGATACAGCAACTAATTTGGCATAGTTTTGTAAATTGAGTCCAAAGGCTTTGGCCAATTGGAATGAATCGGCAACCGCAATGTTGGTAACGGCAAGCAAGTAGTTGTTGGATAATTTAGCAGCTAACCCAGCACCGTGGTTGGCACCACATGGGAAAATGTTTTTACCCATCTTGTTCAACAAGGTGGTCAATGCTGGTGAAACATCTTGATGCGTTTCTCTACTCAACATAAATGACAACGTACCCTTTCTGGCACCAGCAACACCTCCACTGACTGGAGCATCAATGAAGTCAAATTCAGGCAAGGTTTCCTTGACGTATTTGTGCACCTCTCTACTGGTTGGAATATCAATAGTTGACGAATCAATAATGGTAGTTTTGTAATCAGGGCTGTATCCATTTTCTTCAAAGCTAGTGACAATCTCTTCAACAACACCCTTGACATGCTTACCTTCAGGAACCATGGTCACGATGAAATCCAATTGTCCATCAACACCAGTAACAAAACTCTTTAAATCAGGCAAGGTAACCAATTTGTCCTTGTTGGTGGCATCTTGTTGAGTTACAGTGGTGACGAAATTGTCAACTGATGCAGGTAAAGTATCATACACGTACAATTTGTCGTCAGCTTCCAATTGGTTGTAAATGTGTCTGGCCATATGTTGACCCATTTGTCCTAATCCGACAAATCCATAGTTGGCAAGTACACGAGAATTTGTGGAGAACCGACGGATAGCGGATGATGCAGTTACTTTATACATAATGTTGTGTGAATAGATATATCTTAAGACTGGGGATAGGTAATCAGCGTATTAAAAGAGAAAAGTCTCTAAATGGAAAACTTTTTTATTAAACCGGGTGGGAGGTTATGATTGGGTATTTATATATTTATAAATGACAATGAAATTTTGGCGTCTATTGAGGGAAAAGAAAAAAAAAAACAAAATTAAAATTGAAAAATTGAAAAAAATTTAAATATCCGCTTTTGAAAAATATTATATCGGTTGGAAAATACACTTTTTGGGATCATTATTATTGTCAAGAAAAATGAGTTTACTTTTTTACTCCACTTAAACACACGAGTAAGGTACAACAACATATGACCAACCCCCAACCCCCCTTTTGACGCATCCTTAGCTTAGCATATATATATATGTTTAGAGTTTTTTTTTTCTTTTAGTTTCGAACCTTTTATGTCTACGGCATTGGTATTTTTCGTATCATGAGAGTCACCTATCATAAAATTTAATGGTGGAAGGGGTTCCTTATTTTTCCGGTGTAGACTTTTAGCAAAGGACAACCGCTGTAATAGGGCCCAAAGGATGAAAAAATAAAAAAAAACAATAGAGAAACAATAGAGAAACAGTGCCAACGAATTCAAACAGGTTGCAAAAAAATATCGTTGCACATGGCAAAAAAGTGTAAGAAAAAGTGATTCAATGAGTCCAATCTTGATGGAGGCTATACCGCCACACCTCCTAGCTGTGTGTTAAATTGTTTTTTTGAGAAACTAAAATCAATTAAGAAAAGGAGGATGACCTAAGTATAATACCCCAGACCCCAGATTTCAAATTAATTGTCATTATTTTTTGTGCAAAGTTTCTTTTAAGCGCTAACGGAATTTGAATTTTTAAAGCACAAAAACGTCTTAGTCTTTTTTATCCCCGGCTATTGACGGTTCAAATGGTAGCGCAAACAAAAAGTGGGGATCGTATTCCGCTAGTGTACACAGCGCACACGATATATCTAATTACACCTGGGACCAACAGATGAAGATATACGAATTGGAGCCCAGGCGTATCAGTAATTGATTTCATCAGCTACTGATTAAGTTTACACTTTCGTCATATGGCACGGTCAATGAGTTTTCATCAGTAAATTGCGACTTGCATGTGTGGTAATAGTTGTCCTGTGTTGACTAAAGGGAGAACACATCTATCACAAGAATGATTGAGAAGCAACGCGGGATGAATCGTTCTAAATGTACACAGTGCCTTCTTTTCTTATGGCATGATTGTTCATACTGAAAATGGACTAAAAAGCGCCGGACTTAATTTCTGAATGCATACACCTCAATGCAGAACCTCTTATGTGCCACTGACAATACAATGACACGCATTGAAAATGTTATCAAATATAAGACTATCGAAAACCTGTTTTTTTTTCAATTTTAAGTGGGCTCAATTGAATTTTCTCAATCCAACAATATGAAGTTTTCCATTGCAACAAGTGCCGTCTTAGCTATGGCATCAACGGGTGGTGTCAGTGCAATGACAATTCCATTCATCGGACAAACAGTGTTGAATTACTTTGACATGAACAACTACATACCTCAATTTAACATTATCAATGGTGATGAACAAAGTAACTTGTTTCTGGAAGTTTCCAACTACTTTAATGAGCCATTAAGTATATTGACAAAAGAGACCAAAAAGTTGTGGCAGGAGATTGTCCTCAACTCTGAATTATTCCAGAAATTCAAATCCGAGCCTCCATCAAACAAGTTTGCCAAGAAACAAAAATTTGAATATTACGTAAAGGATGCAAAATACCCTAATCATGGAATACGTGCAAAGTCTCCCAAGGGCTTGGGAATTGACTCGGTTCAACAATACTCCGGTTACTTTGACATTGAGGACGAAGACAAACATCTTTTCTTTTGGTTGTTTGAAAGTAGAAATGACCCAAAGACAGACCCATTTGTATTGTGGATCAATGGTGGCCCTGGGTGTGCATCATCATTAGGATTGTTTTTTGAATTAGGACCAGCTTCAATTTCAAAAGACGTTAAACCTGTACACAACCCTTATTCGTGGAACAACAATGCCACTGTTATATTTATTGACTCTCCTGTCAATGTTGGTTACTCCTACTCGTCCAATTCAGTCACTACCGCTGATGCTTCTGCTAAGGATATTTACGCATTCTTGGAGTTATTTTTCAAACAGTTTCCACAATATAGTAAATTGGACTTCCACATATCGGGTGAATCGTATGCTGGACATTACCTTCCAGCCATTGCTGGCGAGATTTTGAGTCACCCTGAAAGGCCCTTCAATTTGTCATCGGTTTTGATAGGTAATGGATTTGCTGATGTCAAGACTCAATACGAGTACTTTCAGCCAATGGCCTGTGGTCAAGGCGGCGAACCAAGTGTTTTGGAACCAAGCGAATGCGAAGCCATGGCGGCTGGTATTCCATTATGCGCCAACTTGATTGACAGATGTTACAAATCACAATCTGTTTGGGATTGTCTTCCTGCCACTATTTATTGCAATCAAGCTGAATTGACCCCATATGAGAAGACAGGTAGAAACCTTTATGATATCAGGAAGGAATGCAAGGGACAGAATTTGTGCTACGAAGGAATGGACTACGTTGATGAGTACTTGAGTAAACCCGAGGTATTAAAAGCAGTTGGAGCTGAAGTATCTGGTCATGAAGCGTGTAACGATGAAGTCACACAAAGGTTTATCCTCAACGGCGACTTGATGAAGCCTTTTTACAGACACATTGTTGATGTTTTGGACAGCGGTATACCGGTTTTGCTCTACAATGGAGATAAAGATTTCATTTGTAACTGGTTGGGTGTTGACGCATGGAGCAATAAGCTAGAATGGACTGGTTCAACTGGGTTCAAAAAATCACCTCTCAGAAAGTGGCAAGTGGGTGGCAAACATGCTGGTAATGTCAAGAGTTATGACAACTTTACTGTCTTGAGAGTGTTTGATGCTGGGCACATGGTTCCTTATGATCAACCGGCTCATGCCTTGGATATGTTCACCCAATGGGTTGGAGGTCAATACACGTTTTGAAATAGAGTGTAATCAAAGTGGATAGAATTTGTATCGTTTATACTAACATAGGCACAAGTCTAGTGCTACTCTCCTTTTGCAACAAATCCAATTAAAAATTTCCCGTTAATGCTTTCCTCAATTGTGTAACATTCTCAAAAGACCACTTCTAAGCTTATATACTACATTAAGCACTAACTGCATTCATCAAAGTTTTAGTTTCGCTTATTATATCCATTTTTGTTGTATATTACTTTCATTTTGATGGTTGGTTTGGAGGCGAATCTTTGTTATCTAAATCTTTACCAAATCGGGAATTACGCGCAAAAACTTTAAAACGCCCAAAACGCTTAACTAATTGAATAATTTCATAACATTTTCAAAGTATACACATATATATATATGACAAGTGTGTTATTCTAAATTACTCACCATTGCTTCTTCCATCAGTCTATACCTTCCCACCCCTCGCTTTCCATGGTTGAATCAATTTCATCGCAATTGCCCCAAAAAACAACTTACAAGTTACCAAAACCAAAAGCAGCATATTATCCTCATCCAGGATCACCTTTATATGCCGATAAATCCTTTTACGATTCTATAGCTAAAGCTCCTAAAACACTTGTTGACAAAATTCGGTGTGAACCACGTACAGGGATTGCCATCAAGATACCAGCGAAATCGGTGTTTAGAATTACAACTCCTGATGGACCACAGGTTTGTGATTTGAATATTTGGAATTTGAATAATTTTAAAGAACGGTTCTGGGCTGCTAGAACTAGACAATTGCATTCTGCTCATGTGTCGACTTATGATAGGCTTTGGTCGAATTTGCCATACTTGCGTCCACTAGTCACCATCATTGGCGATACTATGTCTGCCAGACACGATGAATGGGGTGGAAGAGTCCACGATACCTTGGGTACACGATGTGACCCATACGTAGACAAGTTAATCAGTGGGAAAGATAACGACAACCATTGTCATTCCAATTTATATCGAGCTATTAGACCTTTTGGATTGACAGAATTTGATGTTCATGATGTCTTGAATGTGTTTCAAGTCACTGGATTAAATGAATATGATCAGTATTTCATGGAGGCCTGTCCTGCTACTAAAAGCGATTATTTTGAATTATTTGCTGAATTGGATTTGCTTGTTGCAATAAGTGCCTGTCCTGGCGGAGATTTGTCACAATGGGGGTGGGGTGAGCATCAAGACGATTTAAACGATCTGAAAATGGTTGATTGTTGTCGTGCTCTTGAAATTGAGGTGTATAAATTAGAAGACGAAGATGGTGTTTTACAAGGGTGGAAACAGCCTGAAGTTGTCAACTACACGGGTAATCATGGATTGAAGTAGCTAGCTACATGCATAGGCATCATCTATAAGTATCTATAAGATAATCTATACACCATCGATGGCTTTATGCAACCAGCTGCCCAATTTGTGAGTAGATCTATCACCACCCAATGATTGTTCAATCGAATCGCCTCTATATTGAATTCCACATAATTTCCCACTGACTTCGTTCCACAATGTCGGACTATAATGCGAATTTGCATCTCCCCATTCAATACTCTTTATTATTCCCATGTCTACTGTAAGTTTTATACAAATACCATGCTTTGCATTTTCAAGTGTATGTGTGAAGGAGGGAGTACGGCCAAATTTCCACTCCCACGATTTCAACTCATCGGCAACAGTAAATACCTCCTCGGGTAACTCAACAGACTCATCAATTTCAAAGGTATTGGCCAGTTTAACTGCACTGACAAAATCTGTCAATCCCATCATCTCGTTAAACTCTTTATTAGGATCATCTTCATTTTTCAATTCCGTTGAAGATGCATCCAGTATCCCATACTCAAGTTTAAACCCTTTGGAAACTAGATCGACAAAGCTCTCCTGTGGAATCTGCAAGTTGGTAACTTTTGCCTTCACCGAATCAATAGTTTTACTGGCATCAACCACTCCCAATTCTACCACATCGCGATGCAACACTTGTTTCAATCTTTGCAAATCCAGATTTAGTAACATGGTTCCATGATGGTAGGATTTGCCTCGAGATAGCTTATAAGCCGAGCCACTAATTTTCAATTCCTTGTTGCCGTTTCGAGCCACAATATCACCTCGATGATTAACTTCAATTTTCGTTGATGTGATATTCGACCTATTAATCGAGTCAACAATCAAGTCTACAAATTTAAATCGATCGAAGTCTTGCTTTGTTGTCATGAATGAATAATTAACATTTCCCAAATCATGAACTACAGTACCGCCACCTGACTTTCTCCTAATCAAAGGAATCCCACATTCATTCATCTTGGGCAAATTGACTTCTTTCCAAGGATTTTGATTCTTTCCAATAACAACGCAAGGTGAATTTGTGTAGAACATTAGCCTTTGTGCTTTAAATGGGGAGTCCTTGGCTATCGGTATTTTATTATACACGTAGTCTTCAATGGCTAAGTTCAAATATGGATCAGAAAGCTTGGAGACAAAAACGGTGGGCTCATTTCTTGCTGCAATAGACTCTAGTTTGCCTGCTTGTGTGGGGGTTGGAATCTCCAGCTCTTCATTATCATAGAGTAGATCCTTCAATTGCTTCTTCTTGTATTCGCTTACTTGAGGTGATTCTTTGTAGTGGCGAAAATCTCCGAGACCAAATTCATCTAAATCTAAATCGGTCAAGTCATCTTGGAATGGCGAGTTGATGTTGGATATATAGCGCTTGAAACTTAGTCCTTGCTTTACTAGTCGAGATAGCACACCACGACTTGTCAACGAAAGGTGAATTGTCATATAACCATAGAACTTCAACTAGTGATGAGTAAAGTTTAAAAGTTCAAAAGTATGAAAAAAAAAACATCATCAATTAACCAAACCTGCGCTTTATTACCAAAGATGACAAGTACCAATGAACTAGAAAAACGATTACTCACACGATGCTACAACTCTAACGAGGAAATACTAAACATACTAGAAACACGATACTCGACTGAAGGAGAACAAAAGCCGACAATTTTATTCAAACATGTCAAGAAACCCACCAAGAACAATCGGAAATCCATCTTGCTCAAACCATCATCCGATGATAAAATCCCCTCAAGCAGAAAAAGATCAACCAGAAATGAGCTTAAACAATACATCACATCAACAATTACCAACCAACGTAAATTGATCAAAAAAATTCGAGCGTATAAACGTGCCAACCAACCTTTTAGTATTGAACCATTGATTAAACAATATGATATACCTAAATTTGAAGATTTTATCAAAATGAATGATTTATGGCAGAGCTATATTCAAGATTTGCTTGGTCTTGATACGAATACCCCACTCAATACTTCTGTCATGCTACCGAAATTGGTCAATGCCGACTTTAATGGATGCTTACTAACGGTACTACAATCACGCAACAATAACGTTGTTGGGACCAGAGGTATAGTTGTGTGGGACTGTCAGCATTCATTTATAATGGTTGTACCTCGTGGTGAAGATTATAAGGAGTGGACACTGGCTGCTGCAAATGACAAGGAAGTCACAAAGGAATTGGATCCGGCAGCGTTTGTAGGTGGAATGAAAATCATTCCCAAGCAATATACTCTATTTGGCTTCGATGTCGTTTTACCAAGTGAAAAGAAGCATGATAATAATGAAAGAGATATAGAGGTTGATGATGATGATGATGATGATGATGATGAATCGCAAGAAGGAGTAGAAAGCATAGGGTTTACCTTGATTGGCTCAAGATTTGAAATACGAAGTGTTGAGAGGTCGGCGAAAAAGTTTAAAAATCATGCTGTTGATGATCTACTATAGCTCTTATCCTAATATATTCGACTTTTGATTGTGTTTAATTGTAATCTCAAAGCTTCGCTTTTAGTTGACTCTATTATCTTATCAATCATTGATTCTGCTTCAACCCTCTCCAGTTCTTCCAATTGTCGGTTTGGCAACTCTAAAATGTAGCCTATCTGACTAATGATTTCTTCGTTATTCGCATTATTTGGTATACTATCCACCGTTTCATCGTACACTCCAACGACGCTGGCGTTTGACTCTGCGCGATCGGTGGATCTCTCCAATCGATTAAGAACATCATCGAACCCACCATAAGTAAACTTCTTGATTGTAGTTTCATCAAACTTGGATAAATCATTCAACACATCATCGAGATAACTATCAATGGAAACCTCTGGACCAGTATCATCAGCCTGTCTAAAAATTTTAAAACCACTCAAGGAATCAATCTTTTCTGAACCATTTACCGAAGATGTATTTGAAATCTGCTTTTTAGACTCAGACAAGTCTCCCAACATGTTGCTTAGCTTAATTAGCTCATAATAGTTATCATAAATAATCTCTTTCTTTTTTTGACTCGCTGAACTGAGTTGCAGTTGTATTTTGTTACGAAGTTTGAGAATATCCTTAGTGCTTGACGTCTTGATGAATTGTTCTACATCCTCAGCAGTTTTCAATTCATCAGGTTCAACTTCACGCTGGTTAGAATTGTCCTCTTTCTTGTCGGTAGGTTTATCCAGTTCAGTTGCACCATTTTCTTCTCCTAGTTGGTTCTTTTGTTGATTGGACTGTGCTTGTTGTAAATGGTAAAACTCTTGTAATGCTTTACGCCGTGATGATATCTTCCTAGGCTGTTGTGTATGAGGAGGTAGTTGAGGTGATGCACTGTTGGACGCTGCTGATGATAGACTTGGTGAGAAACTGGCCCTCGGAGTAGATGTTGCTGAGGATGCTTGGTCTTTACTCGGCTTTTTGTACGAAAGAACAGGAGTTTGGGCCATTAGTGGTTAGGATCAATCGGTTATGGAAACTATTAGTAGTACTATAATATTTTGTAAGTACAATGGTTTATCTATTTATCAATCTGAGAGAATTTTAAAGAAACAAAAATTTATTCCATTTCCAAGCATTCGTTACCCCTTGAATATTCAAGAGCAAAGCAACATTTCTAACAAATGATAGAAGTATAAATAATAGTGACATATGCCCTCAATTGTATACTATTGCTTCTACTGATTGAATCTTTTACGCTAAAAGTCACTTTACAAAGATGCAATTGAAAGAATATTCCGTTGATACTCCACGTCAAACTTTGCTAGAAGGTTCTGAGAAAGTTTTGAAATCAATTTCTAACTGGACTCCAGGTAAGGTGTATCACAAGGATACGAAACATGTCACCAGGACTTTTCATGATACCATCGATGGTGATTACTGGTGCGCTAGACAAAGCGTGTTGAAAGATATCCCAATAGACAAATTCAAATCTGCAATTATTGGCACTACTGAAGTTGGATTCACTCATTCAGACCATGAACTCCTTTATGTTCATGAAATTGAGCTGATGCAAGTTCGCAATATAAACAAATACGAAGATAATGGATGGAGCTACACAATTCACGCTCAATACGAATTTGGATTTCCCTTAAATAAGAGGCTGTTTAACGAGTTGGTCCATGTTTTTGTTTCCAATGACAGAGCATTGGTGGTTAGTGTTCCCATTGAAGGGGGGATTGAAGGGGTGTTGGGAACTTATGTATCTGTTGAACAAATTAAATGGAACGGAAATAGTGTTGATTGGACTGTTGCTACCACATCAAGTGCTGGTGGAAATATTCCTGACTGGGTCACTAAGCTAAGTATTGGCGGTGCGATAGCTAAAGACGTTCCAAATGTGCTTGCATACATTGAAAGCGAGAGGTTCCTTGTCCACGTTGGATAAAATGAGGCAATATGTAATGTAGCTTACATAGAGTACACACAAGATCTTTGAAAGCAATGTGATCCTTTATTCGAAGGTCTAAGAATTGAACTCTCAGAGTAATAGCTAAGTAACTGGCATCTATTCTGTCCTCTTCTTCTCCACCCAACCCACACATAAAACACAAAAATCAATCAGTTGATGAGAAAAGTTAAACTTGAGAAGAAGAAAAAAAAAAAATCCTCACACTGAAAATTTGATTGACTGGTGTGACTCTTACTTCTCATTCCAACTAGTTTGACAGACACGAAACTTTGGTCAATTTGCACTTGTATGATCAAAAGGACATTCACAAGAATAATGTCTACTTCATCCACCGTCAATAATACTGAAAAATGGTCTGCCCCAAAAGTTAGATCTACCTTTTTAGATTTTTTCAAAGATAAGAAACAACATACCTATGTTCCGTCTTCTTCAGTGGTTCCTCATAATGACCCTACTTTGTTATTTGCCAATGCTGGTATGAACCAGTATAAGCCTATCTTCTTAGGAACAGTTGATCCAGCAAGTGATTTTGCCAAGTTGAAAAGAGCTGTTAACTCTCAGAAGTGTATTAGAGCTGGGGGTAAACATAACGATTTAGAAGATGTTGGTAGGGATTCATATCATCATACTTTTTTTGAAATGCTTGGTAACTGGTCGTTTGGAGATTACTTCAAAAAGGAAGCCATTGCTTGGTCCTGGGAATTATTAACTGAAGTCTATAGCTTGGAAAAAGATAGGTTATATGTTACATACTTTGGTGGGGACGACAAACAAGGATTAGAAGCAGACTTGGAGGCTAAACAATTCTGGTTAAATGTTGGTGTTGCCGAGGACCACATCTTGCCAGGTGATGCAAAGGATAATTTCTGGGAAATGGGAGACCAAGGTCCTTGTGGTCCTTGTTCCGAGATTCATTATGATAGAATAGGTGGTAGAAACGCCGCCTCCCTTGTTAATATGGACGACCCAAACGTATTGGAAGTTTGGAACGTTGTTTTCATTCAGTATAACCGTGAGGCTGACGGCTCGTTGAAGCCTTTGCCAAACAAGCATATCGATACTGGTATGGGTTTTGAAAGATTGGTATCCATTTTGCAAAACAAGTATTCCAATTACGACACCGATGTGTTTTTGCCAATTTTTGAAAAAATTAGAGAGATCACTGGTGTCAGACCATACACTGGGAAGTTTGGTGTCGATGATAAAGATGGTATTGATACTGCTTACAGAGTCATTGCTGACCATGTGAGAACTCTCACATTTGCCATTTGTGATGGTGGGGTTCCAAATAATGAAGGTAGGGGATATGTTTTGAGAAGAGTCTTGAGAAGAGGCTCACGTTATGTACGCAAGTACATGAACTATCCAATTGGATCATTCTTCCCTCAGTTGGTTGACGTTGTCATTGAACAAAATAAAGAAATTTTCCCAGAAATCGAATCGGGATCGCAAGATCTTAAGGAGATTTTGAATGAAGAAGAATTGTCGTTTGCAAAGACTTTGGATCGTGGTGAAAAACTATTTGAACAATATGCCATCATCGCTTCAAAGACACCTGAGCAAACTTTATCTGGTAAGGATGTATGGAGATTATATGACACATATGGGTTCCCGGTTGACTTGACTAGATTAATGGCTGAAGAGGCAGGTTTGAAGATTGATGAAGAAGGATTTGAAGTGGCCAAGGAAGAGTCAAGAGAAGCTTCCAAGGGCGCAGGTAGTAAGAATGCATCTTCTTTGGTTAAATTAGATGTGCATGCTTTATCTGATCTTGAAGGAAAAGTTGCCAAGACCGATGATAGTGCCAAGTATGGACTTGAAAATATCAAAGCCAAAGTTCTTGCTATCTATGATGGCAGTAAATTTGTTGATTCGATTCAGCAAAGTGAAGAAGGTACACAATACGGTATCTTGTTGGATAAAACGCCATTCTACGCCGAACAAGGTGGTCAGGAATACGATACCGGTAAACTTGTTATTGATGGTAAAACCGAGTTTAATGTCGAAAATGTACAAGTTTACGCTGGATATGTTTTGCACACTGGTTTCGTTCTTGAAGGTAAATTGAACGTAGGTGATGAAGTGATTGCTGCTTACGATGAGTTGAGAAGGTGGCCAATTAGAAACAACCACACTGGTACCCATGTTTTGAATTATGCCTTGAGGGAGGTTCTTGGTGACGATGTTGATCAAAAAGGTTCGCTTGTTGCAAAGGAGAAATTGAGATTTGATTTCAGTCATAAGCAAGCCTTGACACCAAAAGAGTTGGAAAAAGTTGAAGATATCTCTAACCAATACATTAGAGATAATAAACAAGTTTACTACAAGGATGTATCATTAGCTGAAGCTAAAGGGATTAACGGTTTGAGAGCTGTGTTTGGAGAGACGTATCCTGACCCAGTCCGTGTTGTTTCAATTGGTGTTCCAGTTGATGATTTGCTCAAGGACCCAAGAAATGATCAGTGGAAATCATTATCAATTGAATTTTGCGGTGGTACTCATGTGGCCAAAACAAGTGAGATTAAAGATTTAGTTATCATTGAAGAATCGGGTATTGCCAAAGGTATAAGAAGAATTGTTGCCGTTACTGGCCATGATGCCCATGCTGTACAAAGAGTTGCCAAAGAATTTGGTGATGAATTGGAACAAGCAAATGCATTACCTAATGGGCCAGTTAAAGAAAACAAGGTCAAGGAATTGGGTGTTGCATTGAAGAAGTTGTCGATTTCTGTCTTGGATAAACAAAAATTGACTGAAAAATTCAACAAGGTTGATAAATCAATCAAAGACCATCAAAAGAGCATACAAAAGGAAGAGAGCAAGAAAACTCTTGAAGTCGTCAAGAAATGGCTTGATGATGGTGAACATAAATCCGAGTTTTTGGTGGCACACATACCAATCAATGCCAATGCCAAGGCCATAACCGAGGCTTTCAACTTGGTCAAGAAGCAAGACAAAACTAAATCATTGTATTTGTTAACAGGACAAAGTGATAAAGTCGCTCACGGGTGCTATGTTAGTGATGAAGCAATTGCAAAAGGTGTTGATGCCAGCCAATTGGCTAAAGCAGTCAGTGGAAAGATTGGCGGTAAAGCTGGAGGTAAAGGAAATATTGTCCAGGGTATGGGTGACAAACCAAGTGGAATTGATGAAGCTATCGAAGAGGTGACAAAGACATTCAAAGAGAAATTGTAAAAACCGATTCCAGCTACTGCTCTAGATATATACAATTTTGTTTAAAGTTATTTACACAATTTATAAAACGGCGCCTTCAATCTCTTGAAATGGGTCTTGTTGTTGTTCTTTTTCCAATTGTTTCTTGGCAGCTTGTCTCTCGCTTTCTTTCAACTGTTTAATAACGTCCAATCTTCTCTTGACTCCTGCTTCGGCAGCTTTTGACATTATTCCAAGCATCAAGTTTACCGACCGAACATTTTCATCATTACATGGGATTGGATATGTCACTAAGCTTGGTTCCATATCAGTGTCACATAACGCAATAGTAGGAATACAAGCTGATAAACATTCTTTGATACAATTTCTATTCTCCACTGGGTTTAACAAAATGACCAAGTCTGGCTTGATTATTGAATTTGAGGTTACTGCCGAGTTGATTGGCTTGTTCTCCATATCTATTTGGTGCTTCATCGATGGGTCTTTAATCTGTTTCGAAACTTCAATACAATTGGTGATTGTACCTGGGATCCATCTCTTAGACACATAGTAACCTTTGGCTCTATCTGCCGCTGCGACTAACGATTCTTGAATTGACCAATTCTTGTGTGTTCCCACAAATAGTATAACACCACCCTTTTCACTAACACCTTCAATCACTTTACAAGCAGTTTGTAATTGAGCAATGGTTTGATTTAAATCGATTAAATGGATCCCATTATAAGTACCGTATATAAAAGGTTGGAAGTTGGATCTGAATGAAGATGTTGCATGCCCAAGATGACAACCTGCAGCCATTAAGTTCGAGATGGTGGTTTGGGTGATGCTAGGTGGGTTTGTTGTATCTCTTTGTGGTTTGTATATATTTTCAAGTTTTGAACCTAACGCCCCACTAGTTCTGAGATGGTTAAGTTGCCTTAAGTAAAGTTCTTGTTCCGAGTAATCTTTGTAATCGGGAGTGGGTTTCAAATTGGGGAATTGGGAGGTATATTGGTTGGTCATTGATGAGGCCTTTGCTTCTGGATCTTTGGTGCTCCTGTGCCCCCCCTTAACACTCTTATGAGCCCAGGGCCTATTTTCAATAATATCATCGGTTAAATGCATACTGCTTGTCATGTACTCTCGCAACTCCTCATCAAGCTGCTTGATTTTGTTTTCAGGAATTTTAGAAATGTCTTGATTCAATTTGGCAATACGCTCATTCATTAAGCTAGTGGGAGTCTTGTTTAACACATTAATGAGTTCTTTGGATTTTTCTGTCAATTCACGGATTTGTTTCGATTTTTGAATCGCTTCTTCTTCCCTAGCTAATGCTTCAGCAATGGCTTGTTCTCTCAATTCCTTATGCGACAACGTGTGCTCGAGATTGGCATCCTGTGACGCATTTTGAGCCGGCAGTTCTGAGTAGTACCTAACAAGCGACCTCCTGAGCGGCCTACCAAAGGACGTTCTTAACATGTTTGGTGATTGGTGCTTTCGTGGATGCTCTGAATGAAATGGAAAAAAAAAAAAATTTATCAAAATTTTTCAAAACAGAAATTGCAAATCATTTGAACATTCGCATAACCATTTTTTGGTGCAAATACGAACAACGTTAGATATACACATAGTACTATGAACAGATGGTCAAGTGGTACTTTAATTAAGCTTTTTCGAATGCGTCTCTAACCCATAGATGTGTTACCGAGACCATTCCTGGTCTCTTCAGGAATCCCTTAGCAGTGG